AAATGAGAAATTAATGAAATATTATTAAAAAAAAAAAACGTATATTTATATTTTCTAAATTTCGACTTTAAAAATTTGAGAAAAATGATCGTTTAATTTATATTCAATTATATATTTACGAGACGTCGATAATCTGTTTGTACGGAAATCGTTTTGGTACAGCAAATCCGACCCAAGTTTCATAGTAGTTCGACCCAACTGGTATAACTTCGCAGAAACCTTTGCTTCTCGAGGCAGCTTTATCCTGATTTTCCAACATAGCGAATAGTCTTCCGCCATTGCAGACCTCCTCGTACATTATATTTGGATCGTCGACGAAATGAATACGATTCGAAAGTTCGTAACTTCTGTACGAATTTTCAATGTTCTCCTGAAAATTTCCTAAGTCAGCTTTAAACAATTGGAAATAGGATAATTCCGATGAATTAGTTTTAACGTACAATTTGCCAATTATTGTGAAAATTTAATATTAAGTTCCTCTATTTTTCTTATCTATTATTTAATATACTTCTTTTTGCTAAAAAGTACAAAGACGTGAAATATTGGAGAATGTTTAAGGGAGATAATGAAATTTATATTGACATTTTCCGTGTTTCGTGTGTTCAGTTTTTTCCATTCGATTCATTTCGCGATATTAACGTGTATGACTTCATTTTCCGATTAAAGTGTCTCATTTTACATATGGAGTGATATTTCAACTCTTATCCCGTCGACAATTCTAATAGATTCTAATCTATTCTTAATATGAAAATCAATTTTTCCATCATGGTCGATCGATAATTTTTAATCAAATTTTATTAGATTCTAAACTGATCTATAAGTGGAAGTGGAATTAGAATTTATTTGAAAGCTGAAAAAATTATCTACGAAATCACTCTAACACGTCGACACGCTAATTTATGTGTAATCATTTGTATCATTCAGATCTCGTTTAATACATTTAGGTCACAAAGTAATTTATAAATTTCAAGTCCTTCCGAGTAAGTTTCCTCGATACACGAATCTTGTTTCTCAACAGAAAGACTCATTTTTTGAACTGAAAATCTCACTTTTTTTTTTTGAACCAAGTCTCATTTTTCGATCGTGCAAGCTTCACTTAAGAATGATAACAGATCTCTGATTTTTTAGACAAAGCATATTTTATATTTTTCTGCCCCCTTACCTTCACCAGTTCGTAAATTATGGCTCCCTTGAAAACCAGAACGTTGTACTTCGTCTTATTCAACAACGAGTCTAGATTGGAGAACGGTGGTTTCATTGTACGATGCGCCATTCGGTAAATCAGATTCGAGCTGAAAGCTAGAATTATCAGCCACGAGAATATACTTTTCGAAAGTGACAGTATCTTGTTTTGACCGTGAAAAGTTCCTGGAAGATATCCTGTAATCACAAAATTTCCACGTAATTAAACCGGTCAGTTGAATTTAGAAATAGCGAATAAAAAGTCGGACACCTTGACCACACATCATAGAAAATGTGTAGAAGAAATGATCGTTGAAGGTGAAGTATCCACAAGCTTCCAGCAATTTCAATTTTTTCTTCCTCTTATGATTCCCGAATCGTTCAGTTTGGAAGATGTAACCGGCTAAACTGAGCGTCAAGAATAGAAAGATGATAACGTACCAAGTTTCACGTGTGAACATCGTCACCATCCACCTGTTGTCGTATTCGTATTTTGGTTGTGTGTACAGACGAAACCTATTTTATCGAGCAACAATTTTTCAATTTAATTTATTAGGTTGATTGGGTTTTTTATTATATCTAAGCGTTCAGAAATTGCTATAAGTTCAGGTATTGGGTGAAAAATGTGAAAAATTTCAATTGGTTAATTTCTGAAAAATTTGAGTATCATTTCCAATTTAATTTCTTTAACCCCTTAACCTATGATTTCTTTTCTGACTATGCATCTAAGCGTCAGCCATTTTCTGTTTTAGTACCGTATCAAGTAAGAAAAACTAATCTGTCACAGATTAGTTACATTTAGCAATCCTCAGTCCTACAAATTTAAACGAAAATTAGGATTACTGTTAATTTTTCTCACTAATACAACTATTTTCCTCACATCTTCGCCAGAATCTCTGCCACGTGTCTGACAAGTTGTCATATGTTAAGGGGTTAAAATTTCCATTCACGCGAAAAGTACGCATTTTGAGAATTAACGACAATTTTGCAATTTAATTTATCTCAGTGTGCAATTTTTTCTTTTTTTCTCACGACTAATTATTTAAGAAGTATTAATGCGAGAAATGTTTCAATTATTATACAGAGATATCTAAGCATTGGAACATTGTTATAACTTTAAGTATTAGGTAATAGATGAGAAAAATTTCAGTTTATTAATTTCCTCAAAATTCCAGTACCATTTCCATTTTGACTTCTTTAAAATCCAATCGTACGAGAAGTATTTCAAAATTCAGTAGTATTATTTGTCAGTGAATTGACAATACTTTCAAATATTATCAGTAAAACGTTTCAATTCGTGTCTACGTTAATTTCCTCAAAATCCAAGTATCATTTCACGTTTGAATTTCTCTTTTCAAATTCCATCGCGCGAGAAATATTTTCGTTCGTCGAAAAAAATTCAGTAACGCTATACGATAATAAATTCACAATACTTACCAAGTGTTCCAAATAGGCGTCGTATAATCGAACAGATTCGCACGGAAGCTGTAATATCCGGTTCGTAAGATCACCTCCGTTTCATTTCGATCGAGCAACCCCATCAGACCGCTGTAACTTCCGTTATCCAAGCGTTCTCCGAAATTGCGTTCCTCGTACTTTACTGGCTTCAACCTGATGCAAAATCTTCATCCATCTTTTTTCTCTCTCTTAAATACATTTTTTCACGTAAATTTATTACCACTAACACGTTCTCTATCATATGTCTGACGCACCAATTCCCATGATAAAACGCACAGTTTGAGTATTTAACAAATATTGATAAAAATTGACAAGTAGGTAAAATTGATAGAAATACAGGCACGAAGAATGTAAATCGAAATAATTCAAAGGATAGAGAACGTGTTAATTACACTTTTCATATTGTAATTGCAAACTAAATAAATAAAAAAGAAAACATAAGAAAAATGACCAATCTGAAACCCAAGATACTTTCTCCATTTCTACTATATTCCGTTGAATCACGAAGAAGGTAGTTTTTCAACCTCCAAGATAGAAACGAGGAACGAACATCCGAAATATTCTTCCGTGAAATTTAAATAATTTATACGGACGTCAGGAACGTACGTAAAGTTGAGGTGATACGCGAGCAAGTTCCATATCTCGCCGCAGATTCCAGTCAGCTTCGTGTCGTTTTCATAAAACATAACTAAATCCCGCTCCTAAAGGATAACGATAAAGTGTGGTTTTCAGTCTGTGCGGAACGATGCCTCAATTTACGAGAATTTACGAGCAATTCATATGCTTATAAGGGCTTTGGTTAAAACCTCGTAGTAAGATGCTCTCAGAACTTTCCCGCTGATATCATTCACCGCGGAATCTTCATCCCTGGGACGCGTTTGTTCCGAAGAAGCAGCGAGACTCGAGAGGTTGTATAACTCGACGAAACTTCGTTGGTTTTTGTTCCAAATCATACTTCTCCTCGTGTCGCATTGCACTTGCGTATAATGGAAAGTTGCAACGAAAAGAATTACGAACATCGTTCACGTCTTTATGTTTTTCTAATTTGAAATAACGAAAACTGCCCTTTTTTCTCGTTTGCTTCCGGTACTATGATTGCAATAGCGTGCCAGCAGTTGTACGTTAATATAGAATCTGAATATTTTCAGAATTGTGATATTTTTACAGAGATAACATGCAGGACACGTTTACATTTGAAAATTACACTTTAATGAATGCTGTCTATCGATTGTCGGGCCTGACATAACACGAGTTCCATTAGTTTATAGGTTTCCGGAATTGATTTTTACACCAGGCATTAAGCTGATTTTTAGAGTATCAAGACATTTGATAAATGTATTCCTAGTGATGTTGAGTTCTGTTCGTTTCAATAGCTGAAGATTTCTTTTCATTTTTAATATTAAAATAATACAGCTTTAATAAGAAGTTTATGAAGTTTAATACATTTCAATAATTGCTTTCAATAGGCAACAATTTTATAAATATTTACTAAATAATTTGAAATATCTGTATTCATATTTTTAACTTCCTACACTTAAAGAAAAAATTATAGGAAGCAGAGGAAATCAGTAGATCCAAAGGTATTGTGTTTTAACATTTATTCAGGGAACGTGTTGCTGCTGATGAAACCGATCAGGATCGAGATGTGACAGAAGGGGAAGAAATGAAGTGATATCGCTTTCATACAAAAAACATGGATCGTATATATATATATATAAAGATCTTAAATTTATGATCTTTCGTCGAAGTGGTCGACATAAATAAACTTAAGTCTAACCGATGACGAGCCCACGACTCGGCCACCAGGATTACCATACAATTAATAATAATAATAATACAAACACCGATTCGTGGGTTCGTCATCCTCGAAAAAAGTGTCTGGTTTCAACTTAATCCCATTAAATCGTTACCTCTAATCGTCTCGCTTACATCAACTTTAAACGGCCAACAAACCAGTTGGCAGCATTTCACGGCCGACGAAACATCTCTCTGGCCTTTCTCTTAATAGAAAATTATAAAAAGTATAATACAATCTCGTTCAAACACTCTCACTCTAGGCTCTCGTTACCTTATAATTCGCTTGCTTACGAGTCTAACTATAATTCACCTTATCGCACGAGACAGGCGTTAATTCGTCTTATTGTTGTTGCTGTTTCTTTTCTTTCTTTTATTTCATTCGAGTTACAGACTAGTTTCGAACCGTTTACGATTACAGATAGTAACGCCTGCTCTTTTATATAGTCGTAGGTTCTACGCTCTATACACGAATAATATGATCCTGTATAATTTACACGTTAATAGTGTCTGCAAACATTTCGATAGACGAAAGTTGCCGAGTCTTCGTCAAAATCATCGCTATCCTTCGATAATCGTCGTTGAATCTCCTAGAATGAAGATTCATCGCGATATTTTTAGATCTATTTCGCGAGTTCGTTAACTTAAGAGAATCTATGAAAAAGGTGTAAATCCTGGCAATCGTTAAGGGCACGTGATCTCGTTAGTTTCTTACGTGAAACGAGCACACGGTTAAAGTACAAAATGTATGAAACAGTATAAATAGTATAAAAAACGCTTTGATCAATATCAAATGAATCGTTCCACCTCGTTTAAGAATGGATAGATTTATTAAGGACGCGTGTTCGTTTGAGCAGAGTAAATTGCTGTTCATGTCTCGATATGATTACAATTGCTTTTCATCTTAAAACGAATCATTTTCGCAGATAAACTTTTTGTTTCTTCGTTTTTTGTTCTTTTTAAAATCTATTAAATGCACAATGAGATCGTGTTATCGAGTTAATCGACTTGCTGTTAAAACCTACAGCCAATGATTGATTATTATTATGTCATTTCTGAAGATCGGTCTTAAAAATCGTATTACCAGTCTGTAAACACACGATACTACATTTATATTACACTCTAGCAACAATAGATCAGTCGAGAGATTCACTGTTTCGCGTATGCAAAAATATAAGTAAAACTAATTGTATAAAAAGTCTCGTAAAAGTTATTTAAATAACAAATTTTTTGTCGCACTGAGTGCCTTAGTAATAATCCTGACTATAATGTATAAACGTCGACGAAACAGTAGATTCTCATATACTTATACAAAAACAATGTATAAATCACTGGATACTGTTGAATATGCTTCCAATACTCTTAATACTCTCGAATAGAATAAAACTCCGAGAAGTAAACCATGAAATGATATAAGGGGAACGCGACAACGTTAAACGATACAGCCCTACAGTCTATACTGCATACATTCATATTTATACGTATGTATATTCCGTTATATTGTATGTATAAAAAACTCGTCATGGTTGTACACCGGCGTTCAACGTGTTATCGACAGTATAAAATATGTATATTCCAATAAAGAAATAAATAAATGTGGAAACGTGGCAGTGATTAGGTATCGAAGAGAGATCTGCTACCTATCCTGTTCAACGAACGTTATCCAAAGCTTCGAAGATCGAGCCGTGCCTACGAAACGAACCGTATAGATATCTTGTACAACGATTACGGTGAATACGTAGAAACATACAAAAATTGTCCAAGTAAACAGTTTTTTTTTATTTACGTTCACTTCGATACCCTGGTCTCGGTGATAACCTTGCTTGGGTCTGGTAACCTGACAACAAGCTGTGCTCCGTTCTGCATCGGTCTGGTTCCATTGGGCGTGTTTGTTTTGATCATTTGCTGCGGGGCCGGGGGCAAAACTTTTTTGGCTCCGCTCAGTTTCGGTGAGCAACACTGCTTGTCGTCGTACTCGTTCAAGTTAATGTTTGTCTGGTTCGGATAAGTGGGGGCTTTCATGGGCGTGCTGTGTTCTATGAAACCGCAGTTCGTCCTCTGTTCGACGGAGTTCGAGTTCTGAAAGCTTGGTGGCAGCATCTTGATCCCGTTGCTGTGATCATTCAAGTTGCAGAACGGCTGTTGCTCCGTGTTCCCCTTGAAGTTCATGTCCTTCGGATCACACTTGTATATTGGAGCTGACAACTGCGTGGAATTGGTTTTATTCGTGCTTTTGTGACTGCTCCCGGAATAGCTGGTAATAGATTCGTTACAGAAATCGCTCAGGTAAGTTTGGTTTATATACCAATTGTGCAAACGATGGTGAATCTCTGGAAACTGTGGTCTGCGGTTCGCCACCTCGTGCCAGCACTCTATCATTAGGCTGTAAATCATCGTCGGGCAGTCCTCTGGACAGGGTAACAGTTGCCGAGACCGAATCATGTCTATTACTTCTTGATTATTATACCCGTAATACGGCTGTAAATTGAAGAGCGACATTTAAGTATTGTATTATTTTATAGTTTTATTATTTAGCGTTACGATCTACTTTATTACCTGTAAACCATAACTATAAATTTCCCATAATACGACTCCGAAACTCCATACATCAGATTCTGTCGTAAATTTCCCATAAAGGATCGACTCTGGCGGCATCCATCGAACGGGTAGTAGACTTTTAGATTGAACTCTGTAGTAATCGCTGCTGTATATGTCGCGAGATAAACCGAAATCCGAGATCTTTACTGTTAAATTGTCACCAACTAGACAATTCCTTGCTGCTAAGTCTCGATGTACGTAGTGATGACTGGCTAAATATTCCATACCTAAAATGGTATTTTTGTTTAGCGAATTCTATGAATATAATTTCTAACGAATTGATAGTAGCGAATCTGATCTAACCAGATGCGATTTGCAAAGCGATGTGCAAGAATTCCGGTTGTTCTAAAATCTTTCCGGTTCCATTGTTCAATGGAACGTCCGATCTTGGCGAATGGCAAATGAGAAACTCGTGCAAATCCCCTTGGGTCATGTATTCAAACAACATACACATTGGTTCCCCTTTTAATATCACGCCCAGTAAGCAAATAATGTTTGGATGCCTTAGGTCTGTCATCAGATCAACTTCCCGTTTGAAGTCGCTCTGTGTTTTTGGACTTGCGTTCTCTTTTAACGTTTTCACTGCTACGTAAATCGGAGGTTCGCATTTATTGCCTGTTTGTAGTTCCCCTTTGTATACTTTTCCTACCGAAAGCATTAAATATTAGTATTCATCGTATTATATGTTAATAATTATAGAGAAAATTGTATATTTACCAAAAGCTCCTTCTCCAAGTTCTTGCAAGAGTACAACATTATTCGTTGTAAATTGTGGCACTCTGTTATTGGATGTTCTACTACTACCGCTACTTAATGTTCCGGTTCCTGGAGTTGTGTTGCCGGGACCGGCTAACAGGGAACTCATTTCCATTGGTTGTGTTGTGTTTCGTCTTCCGTCGTATATATTCTTGTCACATTGTATACCCGTTAACATCTGTTAAATGAAAAGTAAGGTGTTACTTTAAGTATGCTACAATTAAAATCTTGAACTTCTATTTATTGAAAGTGTAATTTTAAAATTACGCGAAACCTTACTTTATTTGTTGGCAAATGATTCATTTGCCTTCTTGACTTTCTGCTTCTATAACAGCAGCAATAACAGACCAACATGACAACAGATCCTCCTGTTAGGGCAAAACCAACGACTGCATAGATCCATAAGTTTTCAACTGTAAAAAATAGCATTTGTGTTTTATTCTGTGTTTTTATATTGACGTACATTTTTTCTTGCGTGACTACTACTTACCACATTTAGGTATATTACAAAATTCTTTCTGCGGTTTACTATCGACATAAACATAACACCATGGTTTCAATTCTTTATCACCTGGATTGCGACAATATGAATGCTTTCCAGCTAATTCGGGATAATCGGAAATCTGGAGATTGAATTCACCATGCGACCATTGCATGCATGGTCTTCCGCTAATACTTGTTTTTACAATACCACGATAAGACTTTCCACTTCCCCAGTAACAATAATCGTCTGTGAAAAATAAAATATATCCATATAATAAGTTCCATAAAATATATTGAAGAGTTTAATACGTACTTTCTTGTACATTGTTTCCTGAGGAAATTCCAAGACTTAAACAATCACGAGCCTCGGGGGTATCTTCCATTGGTAAATCAGAACAGTCAACTAAAGGCACTTGATGTCCAATCAGCGGATGTCTTTTACCAATTGCATACTCTTTCTTACACAAGTCGTTTTCCAGCATTTCACATTCACGCCGACAGATCCTTCGTAATTTACGATTGATCTCGTTCCTAACAGAGGACTGTGCATCCCCATAGCTTTGATTAATTATTTTTTTATTGGTATTCTTTTCATGTTTGTATGGATTGAATTCTGAGCCAGGACCCAATGTGGGACTGCGTTTTCGCGGAATATGAGATCCAGCGATGTCATCTGTATCATCTCCATCGCCCATATCTCGTGATAAATCACCCTGATTCGAGTTTAAAAAGTGAAACAAACTTGCACTAGCATCTGAATTTTTTAGCTTAAAAATACTGGCAGGATCACGACATATTGGAAATGCAGAGTAACATAGTGATGGTTTTGCATAACCCTGACAATTTGATGAAACCTCACTGAAATATAAAAATGAAAATTAATTTTATGTTATTAATAACTTAATCTCTACTAAGGGTAATTAAGCATAATTTGCTTACTTTGAGTATTTAATAACTCCAAAAGCTTTCATCAACTTATCATCAAGTAACTCTTGCGTCATTGGATATGGGATATAAACTGATTGATTTCCTAAAAATTGTGCACATGTTTTTCCCACATACACCTAAAGAAATAAAACAAAACTTTAGTATATAATTCATAATTGAAGGATTAACTCAACATGTAACAGTTGTTTTACAAAAGTTTCTATGTACCTCACATTTCCCTTCATGATTGTCTTTTCTCCCTGGAGATAACTGCATATTGACGTTTCTAAGGCCGCCGATTGTATGAACGTCGATAGTACTAGATTGAGAACTAGTTGGTTGTGGACTTGGTGATAATATACTAAATGGATTTGTTGATGCCAGATGAGAGATGTGTGGCGTTGACATTCCAGTCCCTGAGAGATCTAATCCATCTCCAGGTCCAATGCTGTTGACAATACAAAACAGACTTATTTCATTATATTCATCTAATATTATACAAATTTACGAAATGAGTTAAGCAGGTTAGGTGAGCAATAATTTTTGCTTTATTATTACATAAAATAGTATATTTTTAACAAAATGCAAGCATACACAGATTCGTTTTTTACATAGAATGAGAATATCAATTTGTTACTTCATTGTGTGAATATTTTATGTCATGATTTTCACGAAAAAAAACGTTTGTCTTTTTCAAAACATAACCTTAGCCAAACATAACCTACAACAGCTAGATTAACGTTACGATTCACGAAATGAAGTACTTTAAAATTAAAATAAAATCACACAAATTTATAATTTTTGAATCTTTATTCAATCAATATCAGTTACATTATTTTGTGTTTACTGTTGTACAAAATTCGCGGCAGTTTTTTATAACCTCGTTTGAAAACAAACAATGATCACCTTTTTTCTGTAATATTAGTAACATTTTTGACACTATTTATGGCACGTACAAAAATACACGTATTCTGTAACAATACTAGGTACAAGAGTAGCTTCATATTTATAAATTATCTATCAAAATTTTAACAGAAAGCTTATGTCATTTGACACCACACCCGGCGTCCATTTGTAAACTGACGCTAATCATAGTTTTCGGCGGTGAAACAAGGTATTATCATTATTTTCGAAGATATTTCTTAAAAATTTTCAGTAAAGAATAATAAAAGTCTGATATAAGTTAAATTTAATATAACATTTATTATTCGATATTACACCGAAATTCAAATGTGTAAATAAAACTTCTTTAAATGCTTTAGTTTTTCCTCAGATATATACTTGTACTCAGAAAAGGAAACTTGATTTTTCGTAACGCGATATTTTATGAAGTTTATTTACAGTAGATATTGGAAAATGTTAAATGCAGATTTAAAAATCTGCTAATCTCTGATGAGATAGTGTATGTTTGCCAATTTAGTTAAGTATACCGTATTTTACGTAGTATTAACAAATGTTACATCTAGATATGATATTTACCCTTCGATGAAATCCCCACCACCGATCATATCCGGGGAGAATCTATCGTCGTCCGATGTTTGACTAATGGGGTGGTCCGGATGAACAGGAACTGAAAAATGAATTATTGCTCGAATTAAAAACGCGCTCTTTATCAAACATTTTAACGTATTGAAAAAAAACCTTCCGTTCGGATTTTATCGAACTTTTCAAATTAAATTTCGTTGTATAAACAGTCCGAAACATTCGATACGTTTACCAAATATTTATATTTCATTATACATCGAGTGTATATATTTTTTCAAATAAACAGGCACGCACGGTGTTTCGTTCGATATACCGTTTGATTGCTTAATGAATTAAATTAAAAAAAAAAAATCAAAAAGAATTTTAATACAATCACGATTCATCAGGCGCGATACTTTCGCAATTTTTCCAGTCAAAGGACGACATTACAAAGAGGAGAATTTAAAAAAAATCACGGAGATTGAAAAATTCTTTCACACACGTTCTCTCATTTCCAGAATAAACGATTATTAGTTTCTTATTCCTTGGAACGTGCAGAATCACGGTGCGAAAGAATTTTTCAATCCCGACGATGACTTTTGAAAATTCGTCTATTTTCGACATTGTCCCTTTCTCTACACCTTTTGTAAAAATTCCCTCGCCAAGCTATTCCACCTTTCCCAAATTTCTATTCTTGCACGTTCCGACGATCGTCCCCTTTATTACAC